GCACAAGAACCACTCATTTGGTAATCCACCCTGACGGGGCCAGACAGGATCCAGACCCCAGGCTCTCTGGCAACAGGGGAAGCAGAAACAGTGGCCAGAGAGGGCTGGCTCCAGCATCCCCAGGTACGTCTGGTGGAAGGCCTGGTGTGAGGGGAACAGACCGGAGACACGTCCGCTCTCACCATCCGGGTCTCAGGGCTCCTGCTATTTCTAATATCTGGTTGGGGAAACTGAGGCACAGGAGTGGGTTCCCTCAAATGCAGGACGGGCCTGGGTACAACTCAAGGGAAGGTACGAGGAGAAGCCTCCACCCTGCATCCTCCAGAGACTGGAGAAGGGGGTCGGGAGTCCTCCTCTACAGTTAGGGCAGACACACTTGTGCCCGAGGCCTGGCCCACAGATGGGCTGCAGCACTGAGTGCATGAACACCTGCGGCCACCGCGGCCTTGAGGGCAGGGCGGTGTCTCAGCTCTGTGCCAGCACACAGGGCGACTGAAGAACCACTCTGCTGCCTCTCCTGGTCCAGCCTCAGCCATGCTCACAGAACTCCACAGCCTCTGGAGTTGTCCTCGGGTGTGGCAGCTGGTGACAGGATTTGCAGCTGTCGGTAAGCGGGAAGGCTCCCTCTCCTTGGTGGCGAGACCTGGCTGAGTGCTTTGGTGGGAGACGCAGGCTCTGTGCCCGCCCCGTGCGCAGTTCCTGAGAGGTGCAGACAAGACGGCTCCGGCCTGAGCTAGCCCGCAGCAGACGCGCTGCCCTGAGGGGGCGGAAGGGCTGCTCCCAGGGGTCCAGCCAGTCTAGAGCAGAAGGAAGAAGCTGGACCCTTGAAATGTGGCCCATCTGGGAAGCAGAAAGGCAGACGCGGACGGACGCTGGTGTCTTCGCTGTGTCTTGAGAAGGAAGGAGGCCTGGGGCAGGGAGAGGGGCCATGCTCCCCCTCAGCGTCTTCCCTGCTGCCAGCCACGGTGAGCCTGGATTGGAAAAGCCACAACACGGGCCACCTGTTTAGACCCACACACCTTCCCGGGGATCCCAGAGCCAAACTGCCACAGCTGGGATCCCCGGGAGCCCATTTAATGGGGGTGGAGGAGGCCGAGAAGGTCCGTGCCTTCTACAGATGGTCTCCCAGCTGCCACCCTGAAGAGAGGGACAGTCTGGTATTTAGAGGGGACCCTGCCTGCCTGCCTCTGCTCAGCCAGTAGCTCGGGTCGCCTGTTCTTAGCTCCTCAGAGCACGCGTGGTCAGCACACAGGCCCTCGCTGCCCCTGCTTTGACTGAGAAGTAGGACCTGGGTGACAGCAAACAGTGGCCTAGGGCGGAGCCCCAGGGCCTGGGCAGGGACGGGCTGCAGTGTCTCTAGGCCCTGCAGGGAGAGCTGAGCAGCTTCCAGAGTCTTCCCAGGGCCAGCCTGGCACTCTGTCCCTGCCTCTCTGTGCCAGGGACGCCTGGGGAGCAGCCTGTTGTGGCTTCTCTTACTGCAACAGAAGACTGCCTGGGCCAAGGGGAAGGAAAAGGGGCGCCTCCCAAAACACTGCTTTCCCTGGGCCCAGGGTGGGTGCTGGCGGGACCTCTATGGCCAGTCTCTCCCCCAGGCCCAGCTCCTGCCTGCAGAGCCCCGAGGAGCCTCACCAGAACCCAGCCACCCACCCCCCATCTCTGCTTAGTCCTCTTCTTCCTTCTGCGTAGGAAACCATCAGGGGTTCTTGGATTCTAAGCCCAAATCATCTTCACCTGGAGCCCGCTCTCCCCGTGATGAGGACACTCCCGCCCCTTTGCTGTGTGACGCCACTCAGAGGCCATCATGGCGGTGGAAGCTGGGAATGGAGGGTTATTGGTGACTCCTTCAGTCAATGATCACAAAAGGGGATCTTGGAGGGTCACCTTTGCATGGGCAGCAGAGGAGCCAGGCCTTGAGACCCATGGGTTCAAAGCCCAGTTGAAGTAGACAAGGCCGAGAAGCCAAGTGGTTACTTCTGAACTTGGTGGTGGTGAGCAGAGAGAGAGGACAGGAGAGCGTCACTGGCAGGAAGGAACCAGAGATTCAGAGAACAAAGCTGCTATTTCCCTCTTTAATTTTCACAGAGAAGGAGGTTTTGGCTTAAACACATGTGAGACATGGTGAAATACATGAGATAAAAACATTAACAACTGTCTAATGTTAATCAGAAAAAATAGATGGTATTTCCAGCCCTGGAGTTCCAAGTGGGCCCATCCCATGATGTCCCCAGGGCCCAAGGCAATGGCCCAGTGCACACACTTGGGTCAGGGCCAGTTTGCTGTCTCTATAGGCCAGGAGGACACAACTTCTTTAAAAAAGATTTCTTAATCTAAAACCAGCTGTTGTCTGCTGTAGGCCAGAACATGACATTTTAATTAGCATATTGTTCTGCTTCTGAAGCAGGCTCCATGGCATCCGAGGGGCAGATGTCCCGACCTAAGCTTCGGGTGAGGCCTGCTGGTTGGCAGCTCAGGAGCACACTCACGAGGGCATGCAGGCCCATGGCCCTTGGAACCTCTAATGCTGACCGCTTGCTGGAGCCCTGTCCTGCATTTCTACGGGATTCTGCTCTCGGTCCGTTAGTAGGTAGAATGTTGGAGGTTTGCTTTGAGAGCCCAAGATGTGGTAGAAATTGCTCTGTTGCAAGATCTAACCCCAATGCTTCTGGAAATAGTGGGGTACTTTACCACCAAGCCACATCCCCAGCCATTTTTATTTCGAGAAAGAATCTCACTGAGTTCCTTAGGGCCTCTCTAATTTGTGGAGGCTGGTTTTGAACTAAGATCCTCCTGCGTCAGCCTCCTGAGTGGCTGGGATTGCAGACATGCATCGCTGTGCCCAGCTAAGTGACTGATGTCCTTGGAGTCCAATGGTCCCACAAAGGTGATAGTCACACAGCTCCCTGAGACACCCAATCAACCCAGATGAAAGAGTTCCTATTTCAAAATCAAAGGGCCAAGCAGGGCTGAAAAATACCCCAAACCCATGAACCTATGGGAAAAAGAACTGGGTAAGACACCAACCACCAAGGTAGCTCATTAAGTGAGGAGCAAAAGCACAGAACTTTCTGGACCTTCAGCTAAGGGCAAAGTCACACCTACCCACCATAAGCGTAGCTCTCGGCTTTCAGTGGGGATTTCAATGGAGGCTCCCCACACATGCCCCATGTCTTGGGACAAGCTAGCAGCCCCCTAGAAAGTTAGAGGGGCTCACTGACTGCCAGCTCTGGGACCTGGTGACAACAGAAATCCCTTTTTCTGGCTTTGTATCACACCAGCCCCAGGATTTTGAAAACGAGAGTGAGAGGCCTTCCCACGTCCCTACAACTGGTGCACATCGTCCTAGACAAAGCTCATCAGGGACCCGCGTCTGCAGCTCTAAGACGCTGAGCAAACCAAGGTCCCACATCCACATCTGCAAAATGCACCGAGGGACAGAGCATGCTCGCCCTCCTGGCAGCAGCTCCAGGGTCCCTCTCCTGAACACCAGCGGGAGGGCTCTTGGGCTTTCTCCTTTGGGTTCTGCTCTTCTGAAACTATCCTCTGGCTCCCAGGCTGTGGGTGACAGGTGAAGTGACCCTTAGACTACAGGGCTGTCCCTGCTCACCTTCTTGTCACTCAACAGAACAATGGGTGGTGTGAGAGGGGCTCCGACTGGCACACAACTGGCTGGCTTTCTGTAATTATATCCACATTCTAAGCAAATTGTTATGTATTCTGTGTTCTGGGGACATGTGTTATGGCTGAAGCCCAAACTGTGGCTAATCTTAATATTAGAGCCAGATAAATCTGTTTCGAATCCATAACATTTAACATTTGCCAGAGTAGATTTGTTCATCAACTGGGCTTAAAGAGGTATAATTCACACATGTGCAGTATTACTAAATGCTGAAACTTAATGATTTAAATGTACCAGCAACTGTTGCAAAGTGGTTGTTACAGCAGCATTTAACGTTGGCCAGAGCCTCCCTGGCTAATGTCACGTTTACACCAAGAGAAGAGGGGAATTCTGGCATCCCCTTGAGGTGGGGGTCACACCCCCTTCAGCTTTTACCACATGGTACTCCACAGCAGCGAGAGGGTACTCTTGGTGGCCCAGCATGCTGAGGCAGTATGGACGGCCGCTGACCGGGAGTGAGGGGCCTGTGGAGGCCTCTGAGCCCCTGCTCTTAGGTCGCTCATGACCGGGGCCTTCTCATGCCTGATGCACTTGGCACTAGAGCCCCTCCTGGTGCGTCCTCCCAGACTGTCATCAGGCCAGAGGCCGAGGCAAGTGCACGAAAGAAGGATGGGTCCCAGATCACCAAGAATCAGCACTTAAGACATAAAATAAAAGGAGTAAAAAATAATTTTAATCATATAAAATCTGCACCAAAGAGTAGTTCATGGAACTGACGGGACCCCAGTCAGCGTTCTTCCTCTGCCTGCGCCTGGAGCCCCAGGGCCCAGGCCCAGACCAAACCCATGAAGAAGTCTGGGTTGGCACCAAATCCAGGGCTTGGCTGTTCTTCCACGACTCGCCGGTGGACAATGACTAAAGTGAGGGGCACCTCTGACACGGTCTCAGGGCTGGCCGGCTCCTCCACTGTGTAGTCCCATGGCCTGTCGGCAGACTGCTCACCTGGAACTGAACGTGCTGGAGCCAAGTCCAGTGCCACCAAGGCTCCTTCCCACTTGTTGTGAAGAGAACCCTGGAGGCCAGGAGGACCCAGGTGTGGCTGCAGGGCTCTGGGCTCGGGAGCCTCTGGCTTCTGATCTTGAGAAGGTGGGAGTGGGTGCGCGGAGTCCAGTCTGTCACCGCACCCCTCTGCCCCACAGTACGGCTGGGAGCAGCTCTGCCCGGCCCCAGCGGCACACCTCACAGGCTGCCGATGTTGGGGAAGCTCTTCAGCTTCTCAGGAAAGTCGTCCTTGTATAGCACGGGGTCAGCCCGGTGCTCCACCACCTTGAGGGGCATCGTTCCAAAGACAGAAGCAAACTTGTTGATGCACTCGGACCTGTGGGAGCGGGGCAAAGGGGGTGGGGAAGGTAAGTGTTTGAGAGGCTGAGAGGTGAAGCAAAATACATCGTGTTCCCATCAACAAGAGAAACTCAGCCTGCTGCCAGGCTCCGGGGAAGATGGAGAGGTAGGGATCAAGGAGGAGCTGGGGGTCCAGGCTCAGTTCGGGGGAGAAAGTGAACGATGCGATGCGGTTGGAGGCTGGTCTACAGGTCAGGATCTCTCCCCCTCCCCCTCAAATTCCAGGCATTCTTCCAGCTCAGCACTGGCAGGCCTCAGACCCAGGTGGATTAGCTGCCAACAGACCTTAACCCCATCTCTGCCAGCTAAGGAGGGTGGGAAGGAAAGCGACTTGGATCTGAGTTCAGCTTAGTGAAGTTTAAAGGGCAGGAGAAGGGTCCCACCCACGTGGCAGTGGGCAGCGAGGGAAGAAGGGCAGCGAACCTCAATTTCAAACAACGAACACTTGGTTCACTGAGCAGCACTCATGCAGGGCCTCCACGTGGCCATCTCCAGGAAGGACCAGGCGCCTGCACAAGCTCCTCTGACAGGCGGAGCTCACACGGGTCTGCTTGCCTAATCTGTGATTTTAGTCACCCTTGCCAACTTGGGACAACAGCTCCTGATGGAGGTACTGGAGGAGAGGCATCTCCTGGCTCAACCCCGCCTGGAGCTGGTCAGCAACCCTCGGAGAGGACTGAGCCAGGCGTATTTTAGGGACGATGCAGGTCAATCAGGCCAACTGAGTGTGGCAGCTGGGCAAGAAGAAAGGTCAGCACCGAACTGGGGTGGAGCCAGGCCTGGGGAAGCCGTGTCTGCAGTCAGGGGACCTCAGAGATGGCATCAGATGGCAGGTCCTCGGCTCTGGAGAGCTGCAGCAGGAACTGGCCAGCTGCCCACCAGGCGGACTTGGCACAATCTCTTTGTCCTCGGAAGTACAACCAAAAGCCTGGCTTCCAGTTATTTTAATCAACAAGTTTGCATGGATGAACTTGGCTCCAGGAAGAAACCATTAATAAAGAAGATTGCTATTACTGTTTTTCCCCTTGTCATTATGTTTCTGAAACATCTGAACCATTTCACTTGGAGTTTTTAGCTAACGTGCCCTCATGCCCACTGACACCACAAGTAGCTGGCTTCGTCGTCTGCACTGTTAAGTAACTTGCCAGGCTAGCAGTGCTTCCAGTTCTCCTCGTAACGGGTGTGATGGCCTCTCGTTCCTATTTTCCCTGGGGGAGACTGAGACATGGAGAAGCTAAGTAACATGTTGACAGGTCCGAAAACCTAGAAGAGCCATGAGCCAAACCCAGGCATTCTGGCTCCTGAGGCTGAAGTCTTAATTATGATCTTATACAAATGTAACTACTAGTGTAATTCCAGGCTCCAAAGGGAGGAGCTGGAAGTTAGAGTCAGTTGAGAGTCTACTCCTGGCCAGCTGTACATAGATATCTCTAGATTCCTTAAATATCCCTCCCCATCCCTCTCCCTTGCCCAGGGACTGGGTTTATATTATCCTAAGGTGATGGATTAAGAAAATAAGGCTAAGTAACTTGCCCAAGGACCCAGAGCTAGAAAGTGGTAGAACTGGGCAGAACCTGGCTCTTGGCATCAGACTCCACCATAACTTGCTAGTATCTGAGTTTCTTTCCTGAGACTCAGGAGGTGGGGGGCAGGCAGCATCCAGACCCAGGGAAGAATTGCGGGGAGAGTGAAGACTCTAGGTGATGTGGTTCAAGCGCTGGACAACAGCTTTCCTCTCTTCAAACCACAGGGTCAAAGCAGCGGCCAATCAAGTCAAATCTCTACAGGTTTTACTTTCTGACAGTGCTTCTGTCTGTAAACAGGAAAGATTCTTCCAGTTTCCAGGTGCTGCGCACACAGGCTCTGGCCAGCCCAGCCCGGCCGCGCCCAGCATGGATACCCCTGGCTCTTGGCTGAGGGTGGCACTTTATGGCCCAGGGAGAGTATTAATGGCAAGGTCTCCTCTGTAACCAGATCTTCCAGCAGGGCATGGGCCATGGCGATATGCCCTGGGGCTCAGGCCAGCCTGAACCGCTGCCAGAAACCCTGGCTAACCCCGCTCTGAAGGCGCTTCCTCCTCGCACACAGCCTGGCACAGGGGAGCGGGTGCAGACCCTTCCCCAGCCGGCTGCTTTCCATCCAGGAGGTCTGGGGCAGGGAACAGCAGGCAGGAGAGCCTGGCTGGGTGACTGGGATGGGGAGGTTGGGCTACCCTGGTTTCCTGCTGCTTTCGCATCAAGTGTGCTTGCTCAGAACTGCCAGTCTCCGGCTGGGCAGTGCTGCAGTGTCCGGGAGGAAAGGCCCACGGGCTTTGTATTTCTCTAAAGCACATCCCATCACCTAGAGTGACCAGGAGCCTTCAGGACTAGTGCAGGGAAACTGGGGTGGAAACTCACACTGCCAGGCCCTGGGCTACAGGAGCTCTATCCCAGCGCCTGACATACTGCTGGGTACTAAGATGCTCATAAATATTTGCTGAACCTGGGAATGGGCCCTGGGATTTGGTACATATTAACATCCCATCTCAGTAGACAAAGAGATTGAAATTCAGATAAGGTAAGCCAATCTAATGAGTGACAAGCTCACACTCTGAACAAAGATTGATCTGAATCAAAATATTATGTTTTCTTAAATGAATGCTTTCTGTCTGCCGAGTAAACCTGCTCTGGTAAAGTTACTGGGCAAATGAACCACTATAAATTCTTCTGATTCTTGAAGATATAGTTGATTCTGGAAATAGATGCTGGGTAGTAAAAAACTACTCTCCTACACAACTGAGATTTCAGATCTAGGCGCCCAAATACAAGGTCAGAGGCTGGTAAGTGGCTACCACTTCTGCTGGTTTATGTAAATGTGCATTCTGCAAAGGGAAATATTAAAACTAAAACAAGTGAACAATTCTGCAGTTGTAACTCTCTCTCCTAGGCTACCCAAGATGGCTTAAATCATGTTTTCCTCCCTCCCAATATGAATGCTTTTTTTTTTTTTTTTGGTGCTGGATATTGAACCCAGGGGCTCAGGCATCCTAGGCAGGCAACACTACCACTGAGCTATACCACAGTCCTCAGTACCTTATTAATAATCCAGTGCCTCGATCTATTTTTTGAGGGGTGCTGGATTTTTGAGCCCAGGGACACTTTACCACTGAATTACATCCCCAGCCCTTTTTATTTTTTACTATGAGACAGCTCAATAAATTACTGAGGCTGTCCTTGAATTTGGAATCCTCCTGCCTCAGCCTCCCGAGTTGCTGGGATTACAGCTGTGCACCACCACGACTGGCCCAGCACCTCAATCTGTAACCCCAAAACATTTTGCTGATTTATTTGTCTACTCCCTATTAAATCTCTCAAAAGCATCGCTTCCCTGCCTAACTCCTCTCTCACCAGCTCAGGCTCTGAGCCTCGTCCGCGTCACTCTCTGACAGTATTTTTTAAGGTCACCAATAATCACCCCGTGCCAAGGCCTGCTCTGCATGACCCTTGCTCCCTCCTTGTTTCGGCACCGCCTGCCTGCAGGCCTCTCCGACAGCTGCTGCTTGTTTCCAGTTACACCTTCGGTCTCCTAAATGTGAGGATATCCCAGAGTCTGCCCTGGCTTTTCTTTAGTCGGCTGTGGTTCTTGGGCAGAAGACAGACTCAGTTCAAACACCTTTCTGCAGTCTGTTTCCACGTTTCTAACTGCCTGGTCACTGTTCTAGATCTCCACACAGAGGGCAAGGCCTCAGAATCGTTCACCTTATTCTTCAATCTCACCCAGGCTAACCCTCTAGTGTGCCCTAACAGTGCCCCTTCCCTCCACTACACTGTGCACACTGTTAAAGGTACTGCGACTTTTTTTTTGACTCCAAATCTAAGTAATCTGCTGACTCCTTGTCTGTACCTCTTCATACCTGTCCATTTGAAAACCACATTCCGGCACCTCTTCCTTTTCTTGAGAGTTAATTTGTTAACTTTCTTTCCACATTCAAATTAGTTCAAGGTTTCTAACAACTGGTCTTCTTTCTACAATCTTATCATTTTTCATCCCATTTTAGACACTACTTACAAATTAATCTCAAAGCAATTTTTTTTTTATGGTACTAGGCATTGAATCCAGGAAGTCTTTTTCCACTGAGCCACACCCCCCAGCTCTTTTTATTTTGAGACAGGCTGGCCTTGAACTTGAGTTCTTTCTTCTTGAGCCTCCTGAGTTGCTGGGATTATAGGTGTGTGCCACCATGCCCAACTTCAAAGCAATTCTTTGATCAAGTTAGTCAACAGATCAAAAACCCTGGGTGAAAAAAAAAGCCAGGCATAGTGGCAATCTCAGCAACTCAGGAGTCTAAGGCAGGAGGATAAGCTGATTCAAGGCCAGCCTCAGCAATTTAGGAGGCCCTGATCAACTTAGTGAGACCTTGTCTCAAAATAAAAAATAAAATGGGCTAGAGATATGGCTCAGGGGTTAAGTACTCCTGAATTCAATCTCTGAGTAAAACAAACAAACAAAAACCCCCAACAAGCCCTGGGTGACGCAGAGATACCAGAGCCTGAAGGAAAATTCTGAGCTCCTTGAGTGAAGGTTCAAAGGGCCTTGCACTCTGACACCAAGAGGCCAGAATTCTGGCTCTGGCCAAATGAACTTCACATTGCCCGCCAAATGAACTTGAACTTGTGGATCAGGCATCCTTGGCCCCTCTCCTTCTCCTTGCCCAGTTTCATTAATTGAGATCCTAGAGATTTTTGAAGGTCTCCATCAGGTGTCACCTCCTTTACAAAGCTACTCTGAATCATTAACCCAGCAAGGAGTCAGCCCTCTGAGCCTCCCTCAGGGCATTATCACAGGTCATCTGGGATCACGTGGCCTGTGTGTCTGGATAGACCTCTGCTTTCCCAGGTCTCTTCTAGAGAGCAGGCGTCACTGGCTGTTCCTCTGCTCAGGGTCCTGAGCGCGCACTGAACTGGATTTGCTCTCGGTGCCTTTCTCACTTTGTCTTTTAAGCCTCTTGGCATTTGTTGTGGCCTCAGGGGTGCAGAGAAGAGCTGAGGAGCCTCAGCGAGCTTCAAGGCCATCGTCAGGTCAACCCTCCTCCTGTCACTTCCTTCCCTTGTGTCCCCACCATCTAACCCAATCACCTCTGGGCTTAACGTGCTGAATCTCCTCAAACAGAGAATAGATGGTTTCCAGAGCAACTTCACGTGCTCCAGAGGAACCACTAATGGGGCCTTTTCCAACTGGACTACGGCTGGCTGTTAATGTCATGACCCTTACCTGTGACACTTATGATTACCAGTGACGATAATCCCAAAACACAATAATGTACTATTTCACGCCAACAATTGGTAAGGGAAATTTCATCTAGGTAAGTCACAGATGATAGGATAAGGAGATTATTTGGAAAATCAGAACGAGTAAAGCATTATAAAAACATCAAAGGCCAAGGAAAAACCTGTACCAAAAAATCCTCCAGCTTGAGGGATCTATTGTGGCTCATGGTTTTCAGAAATATGCAATTCTGCAAGCAGATGCGCGTAAGATCTGTGGGAATTCAAGCCAGGTATCTCATTCCAAAAGGTCACTAGAACATTCTCTGAGTGCATTTTGGTCCCTAGACAATAGTGCCACTAACACGGCAAAGCCAGCTGCCACGAGTAAGGAGCTGCCTCCGGGAAGACTGAGATCTGATTCAGGCACTGTGAAGCTTGGGGACTTTGGGGGCACAGTGGGAACTGTCAGGTCTAGTGTAAGGTTCTGGGGTCTGAAGGAAAGTCACACATTTCCCACTGCTGGTGTCTTCACATCTAGGATCACGTCCACACAGGCGTGTGCTTGTAGAGTAATGGAGGAATAGAAACAAAGGGACTCCTTCACAGCTGCCCTGGCTCTGGATCTGCTCTCGGCAGGTTGTTTTGGTAACATCAGCAAAGGTAATCTGTCTCTGGTGGGCTTGGCTTAATTCTTTCTAGTCAAGCTTTTACATGGAGATGCTACCCTGAGAAACAATCCAGTAATTCCTTGGAATTAACTAGCTTCCACTCAGTGACTGTAGACAGTTAACTGCTTAGGCCACATGGAGAATCTGGCTTCTGGAGCTTAAGGCCAGCTATATTTTTAAGGCCCTTCCAGCCATTACAAATTGAGTGAGTAGCATTCCAAATTAATTCTTTGGGTGACCTGGGCTTGAACTAACCCAATTCCCACCGTGCCAAGGAGGTGACTATGGCTACCAGCTGCTGTCCTTATATCTCCAACAAAGTCCCATAAACAGGCCCAGGGCAGGAAATGGGGATCAGGGCTGGGGCAGACTTGCTTGAGGCTCACTCACCTCTCCACCATGTGTGTCTGGTCTAGAGAAAGCCCGTCAATGGCTGTGCACTCAGGACACTTGAATTTCTTTCGTGGGGTCACCTGACAGAGGAGCATAAAACATATCTGGCTTCAGCGCCACGGACTCTAAAAGTCAAGCTGAGACCCACTCTGCACGCTTCCGGCTGTAAGCAGAGATGCTGCGCACGCACACGCACACCTCACCCTTCCTCCGCTCAGCTCGGGCTGGCTCAGCCAACAGAACTCACAAGGGCCCAATAAAAGAGGCTTGGAGGGCTTTTGCCTTCTGTAACTGGGAAGAAGTGGTGATGACAAGCTCCTTAATTCCTGTTTAATGACTGTTTTCTCACTGCCAAGGTCCTTGTATAAACACCGTTTGTTCTTGCAGCCACACGGGCGATGAAATACAGCTTCCCATAACTTTCACCATAACCTCAGTTCCAACAGGCACTCTTTCTCCTTCTCTCAGCTAATGGCAGATGCTAGGAGCAGCACTGTACTCTGGAAGATACAGCTTATTTTTGCAGTTCCCTTTAGTCACAAAAAAAATTCCAATCGTCCCTCCCCTCTGAATCCTTTTCCCTGACTGCCCCTCCAGCTTCCCAAACCTTACGCTTCCATCCAACTTAGGGAAGGATAGGAGCACAAGAAGGCCAGCTAGCCAGGGCGAGGCTAAGGGGCAAGACACCTGTCCAGAGCTAGCAGCCACAGCCAACAGCATGGAAAACAAAGTTCGGGGTGGAATTCACTTTCTTTAATTTCTCTTGCAGTTAGCTGTTCACTGAGTCATTTAGAGAGCTGGGGGACATAGAGGCCCTGGGGGAAGATGGCGACTTGTCCTCTTTCACAGGCTCCTCATTTAATCGTGTGCAATCGATGGAAATGCCACCCCAAGATTCCAGCGTGAGCTCCTGTGGAATCTGGGCTCTCCAGGCAGACTCTGAGGGGAGTCTGCGCTGCCCACTTCTGGTATAATCCAGGAAGAAGAAAGGTCACGATGATCCCACCCACACAGAGAAGGGGGCTTCCTCTACATATCTAGGTTCTGCTTTGAGCCAAGTCTGAGTTTTAGGCATAAATAGTCGTTTTGTCATGTACAAGACTCCCTCAGAGGATCTTCATATATTCTCAGTTTTTAATGTGGGCAACATACTTTCAAAAGCTGGGAATGTTAGGACCACTACAGCCTGGTCACTGTGCAAGCATCTGTGCCCTGGGGCCACAGTCTTATAGCTGCAAGCACCTCTCAGGCTTGGTGGTGGCGACTTGCCCAAGAAAGCACAGCAGTGGGTGCAGGACCTCTTACCTTGATGACAGCCTTCCCCGTGACATTCGCCACCAGGAAGTTCATGGCTATATCTTCACAGTTCATGTGCGCATCAACCCAGTTCTTGATGTCCCCAGGCATTTTGTAGGTATACAGGTAATTAAAATACTGTCAGGTGGGAAGAAAAGAAGAAGGCATGCTGAAGCCTGTTCCCAGGCAGCAGTGTTTGGAGGGGAAGTTCTGGGGGTGGCAGGATCCTGAGAGCTCTGAGCCCATCAGTGGATTAGCCCACTAAGGCATTATTGGGAGGTGGTGAAAACTGCAAGAGGAGGGGGCCTTCGAGAGGAGCAGGCTGGGGTGTGCCCTGAAGGGACCATCTTGTCCACCCTCTCCCTCCCTCTCTCCACTTCCTGGCTGCCACCAGCTAGCTGCTTTCCTCCACCTCACCCTTCTGCCATGCCTCAGGCCCAAAGCCTGAGCAATGGAGCTAGCCCATGTGGACTAAAACCTCTAAACCATGGGCCACATCCATCTTTCCTTCTCAGAGTTGTTTTTCTCAGGCATTTTGTCTCAGTGATGGAAGCTAATGCAGTGTGTGGATAAGTAAGTAAAAGGCAAGCTGAAACACACCCAGTGACAAGATGCGGCTCTCTAGGTGACATAATTAGGGTGACTGTTACTCATTTTAGTGTTACAAATCTTTGTACTTTGTACTAGGAGCATGTATTGTTTGTATAGTTAAAAAATAACAAACTTATTTTAAAAGGAATATCACACAACATGGCTTTTCTAAGCCCTCTCAGTAGGACACTTTCCCTAAACCCAGCAGCAGATATGAAAAAATCCATTGGGCCCAATTCAACAGGTGTCATTCCTCAGTTTTGTCAGAGGGGACCCAGTGGCCCCAGCCTGCGCCCACTCACCTTGTGATAAAAAGCTGCCCCAGTGAGCACCATGGAGACCTCATTCGTCCACTCCGACTCGTACTTCCATTTATTCATCTCATGGTCCCAGAGATGCAGACGACCGGGGTAGCCCACCAGCCGGTCAGGAAATTCCCGCCAGACCTAAGGATGGAAGCGCATCATGTCACATCAATTCCCCTTCAGGAGAAAGCTGCTCAGTGCAGTTACCCAGCGGGTAGCAGCAGCCTCCCGAGGGCTGAGTCTTCACCAACTAAGAAGGGCAGAGTGGGCTTCGGAAGGCAGTCAGTCTTAACAGGGGCCCGTCCCTTCTACCAAATTTCAAAGATAGAGGTTGATTCTGATTTCCTCCAAACTTCTTGATATGCTTGGAAATTTCAAGTGATGTGAAAGAGGAGCTTACTGAGTTTAGCCAACACGTGAATAATGAAATAGTTTTTTTTGGTGGTACTAGGGATTGAATCCAGAGCTTCTCCAGAGCTCTACCACTAAGTTACATCCCACTTCTTTTCCTTTCTTTGTTGGGGGGTACCAGGGATTGAACCTGGGGACACTCAACCACTGAGCCAACTCCCCAGCCCTATTTTGTATTTTATTTAGAGGCAGGGCCTCAGTGAGTTGCTTAGCACCTCGCTTTTGCTGAGGCTGGTTTGAACTTGCAATCCTCTTACCTCTGCCTCCCAAACTGCTAGGATTACAGGTGTAAGCCACCACGCCTGGATTCTTTCCCTTTTTATTGTGAGAAAGGGCCTCTTTAAGTTGCTGAGGTTGGTCTTGAACTTGTGATCCTCCTGCCTCAGCCTCCCAAGTCACTGGGATTATAGGTGTGTGCCACCACATGTGGCCATTTTTAATGAATACACAAAAGAAGAATAAATGGAACTCTGAAACTCAACTGCCCTGATTCGTGTTAAATTGGTGATTATGAAAAGTTCCAAAGTCTTCTTTTAAAAAACATCTATTTTTCCTGAGCACACCTCCATTCTTACGTCCTACTAGAAGCCTAAAGTGTACAGGATTTGTCTGACTTCATACTCCGTAGCCCACTGAGAACACACCGTGGCTTCTCCATTGGGGGAGGGCCTGGGTGCCGTCTTGCTGGCTCACACACAACTTCACACACTGGGGATGAGGCACTGCCAACCCCCCCGCCCCGTGTGATTATGTACAATAGTGTAACCTTTAAGAGAGAGAAGGGCCATTCGTGAGTGAGCCTTGAGCCTTGACATTAGCTGGCCGTCCTGTGCCTCTTTTCACTCTCCTCTGCTGGTTTCTCAACCTGGAGCAGAATTCTAAGTAATGAGGTTCCTGAGGGTCCAAGCCCAGGCCCTGTTTCCTTCTCCAAGTTCTCTCTCTTTAAGGAATTGTGTCTAGTTTTCATCTCCTTAAATGCCAACTCTAATCTGACGACCTCTAACTTTATGCTTAGCCAGGACACTCCTGAGCTAAACAACCCCTAATGAGCACCTCTGCCTGGACAAACAGGCACCCCCTCGCTACCACATCTAAAATACACTCTGAATCTCACGTCCCCGACCGGTCACCCCCATGTTGCTACCTCAGTCAATGGTCCAGCCCACTGCTCCAGCCCAGGTGTTGGCATCGGCCTCTGCCTCCCAGCCTCCCTCCCAGGCCATGGGCAAGTCCTGCTGCTCTACTCTGACCACCTCTTACCATCCCCCACCACACCCTGGAGCTCCAACCACCACCATTTCTCCCTAGGACCCTGTGACAGCTTTCTTTCTACCTTGTCCCCTGGTTGCCACTCCCGCCCTTCCAGACCCTGGCGTGCACACACCTCTAGAAAGACCACCCACGTCTAAGCGAACGTTAAGGTGCTCAGCACACAGCAATCCGACCAGTGGTCTCTATTTTATTTTTTATAATTATTTTCATTGTATATTTACATATGTATTTATGGAAGCCACAGGGTCTCAAGCCAGAGTAACTGGTGGCTTCCCGACTGCCACTCTGGAGGGAGAGCCAGTGTGTGGTACCTCTCTTCCTTTTTCTTAGCCTCCTGGGGCTGCGGTAGCAAAAAAGCACACCCGCGGGGCTTGGAACACCAGGAGAAGAGAAGCTAAACTCCAGGTGCCCGAAGAGCCATGTTCCTGCGGAGCCCGCAGGGGAGCCTGCCCTGCCGCCCTGGCACCACAGGCTTGCAGCCACATCACTCCAGCCCTGTTACCATGCGGCCAGCTTCCCCAGTGACACCAGGCATACTAGGTTGGGGCCCGCCCTGGTGACCTCATTGTAACTTGGTGACATCTGAGAAGTCACTATTTTCAAATACAGTCAGTCACATTCTGAAGTGAAAGGGACACAATTCAACATATCTCTGAAAATCTTTAAGAAATGTCCCACCCTCAAAGGAAGACAAGAAATGCCTTGCTACTGCACCCTTCCTGCCTCTCTCACCATGTTCTCCCCCACACCAGGTCTCTCTGCTCTGCCATCATGACTAGACCCCAAGCCCTCTGCACTGGCTACTTCTTCTGTCTGGAAGGCTCTCCCTGCTTTTCAAAAGCCTGATTTCTAGCCAGGCACAGTGGTGCACACCAGTATTCCAGGCTACTCTGGAGGCCGAAGCAGGAGGATCACAAATTTGTGGCCAGCCTCAGCAATTTAGTGAGACACTGTCTCAAAATAAAAAAGGGGCTGGGGATGTGGCTCAGTGGTACAGTGCTCCTGGGTTCAATCCCCAGTATCGAAGGAAAAAGAAAAAGGCCGGCTCCCTCTCATGGGTCAGATCACCACTGCCAACTACCCAAGGGGCTTCTTGGGCTTTCGCATCCAAGGCCCAAACCACCCACAACCAAACGCCCGCCACACCCTCTGTTTTCAAGCCCTTGCTTTGCTTTACCGAACTTTTATTCTTTGCAGTTACTTCCATATTCATGAAGCACAGGCCTTCCACCCACTTTCCTCGGGTAGGAGTCACACTGGACCGGGACAGACTGTCTTTATTTGCTGAAGTATTCCAAGCACAAAGAACTGCCCTGCATGTGACTATGCTCCGCACACCTGCTGAGCACGCAGCAGGTGAGCAGGTAAGGAGCCCAGAGCAGAAAAGGCACCCTCCCCTCTTCAGCTCTCCTAGCTCAGGACCCTGCAGCAGTTCTCATGGTGGGGTGTGAGGAGCACAGCAGTCCTCAGGCGGCTATGCGTCTCTGAGCGCTCTTCCAGGAGTGGGAGGGACACTAGCTGAGTCATTACACTGTCTCTGCCCAGTCCCCCTGCTGACCCTGTCTCTGTTTACGAGCTGTCTGACGGGGGTCTTGGGCGTGGTCAGGCTGGTGAGAAAGCAGCTCACCTCTGAGCTCTCTGCCGCAGCCTCATTAACGCCGGGTGGCAACCAGCAGAGTTAATCGGCCACAGGCATCGTCCTAATAGCTGCAGACAAATGAACCCTTGTCAGACATTTCCTCAGTGTGTGCACTGCTGCCTTCCCTCCACTCTGGATTTGTATTTCAGCAGATTAAAATAATATGATACTGCTACAGTTTTATAGAGCCCAGAGCAGCAGCAGAGTTATGCGAGCCGTGACCACTGCTGGGCCGGGGACTCCCCTGAAGGCCCTGCCAACCCTTCCCGGGCACCGCACGCCCGGCGCTCCACGCACACCATGCCACGCTCACCATGGCGCCTCCGAGGGCCCAGGTCACGTGACTGACCCTGGGAGGGCAGGGTGGGGGCGCGGGTGGCACACCCGTCAGGTTCTGCTCCCTGAAGGTAGCGCATCCTATGCGCCACGCACAAGAAGCTCAGGTCATCTCCGTGAGGCCTCCTCTTTACCCTCGCCCTCGGGTGCCGCGACCATCCTTATGCCTCACCACCATCGTCACCACTGCTCAGCCTTAGGGTCACATGCAGTCAGATTGCAGTGAGGGACTCTCACTGTGGCTGACTTCTCTGCAGAGGGACTTAATGTGGCGGCGCTGGGTTACAGAGAGCCACACTCCAGCACTTGTGGCGGCATCAGAGGTGTCCTGAGGTTCAGATTCCTCGGGAGCCTGCGTGGTTCCTCCCGCGAGCCTCTGCCCTTGGCTCACTCCAGGCAGCTGGATCCAATCAGGACACCATCCTTGTCACCTCATCCATAACCCTGCTGCTGACTCCAGGATCACAATGGAGGGAAGCAGAGGGGAAGGGCCCTCTGTGCCGGCCAGCCTAGCGCAGCTCGGGTCATGTGCCCAGGAGCACTCCTCCCAGGCGGAGGGCAGGCCCCCCTCCACGCCCGCCGGCCCGCCTTCCTTTCCTCCTACCGGGGGATGCTCTGGGGCCAGCCTCCTGCCACGGCATGGCACGCGGGCCCTGGGGAGCTGCGTGTGTCCCTGCAGTGCTGGCAGCAGTGTTCCACCACAGTTCACATCACGGCCCTCAGGGACTCGCCAGCTGGACCGCACAGTCCTCCACAGTCCTCCAGCCGCAATGTCCTCGCCGTGTTTAGTCACATATGCCCTGGAAGCCAGACGCCGCCTGTTAGGGCAGATTCTAGGCCTCACATAGGGGCGCAGTGGTAATTTGGACAGACCTCACCTTTGGGGCTGTCCCACACCTCTGTTCAGAAGCAGATCATAACCAGGGAACACCACCCGCCATTTGTTCTTTCCATTCTAACTTTTATAATCTTGGCCCCAAACACTTCTTATCTGATTAGGGAATTTTCACCTTTCTAGACTTCCAGCTGTGCTTACTTGGCCTTTTTGAAGTTCTTTTACAACAAATAAAACACCCTGCCCCCAACCCCTGAAGTCTTCTGTGGCTTCCCACTACTACAGGATCAAGCCAAGATCTTCTCCCAGTTGAAAGGCCTCAGGAGGCCGCCCCAGCTGACCCTCACATCCTATGGAAAGCAGCCCAGGACGCACTCTGCCAGGGACGAGCTGTGTGCTGGTCTCCTCAAGGCGCCCGCCTTCATCCTGCCACCTGTGACACTAGGGGCTGGGTTAAGAGGCCACTACTGTGCTTTTAGTGCTAGAGTCCTCCTTTTCCTCCTGATGACCTGTTCCTGCGGAGCCAGGCCATCACCTATGTGTTTCAAGCCGTGGGTCTGTAGGTCGCCTGGCTTGCCTTGTCAACTGCTGTGCACATGAGGGTACATGACACACGGTCCTCACGGGGCCACCTGGAGCTGCATTTTA